GGGGCATGTCTACGTTAACACTTAGTACAATGTACACGGGGGGGGGGGCATGTCTACGTTAACACTTAGTACAATGTTAAAATTCGGTCATTGAAATCATTAACTAAACAGTTGGAATTGTTTACACCCAGTTTTAACAGACAGATAACGGAGTATAATGGAGGAGAGACAACACTCTTCGTGCTGATTTCTTTTCTTGGCTTTGTTTGAAAACTGTTAGCAAAAATGTAGACTCCTAGATGCTGATATGCCATGTAATGTTGAATATGCTTCCAGAATATACTCCCTTATGGAACAAAAAGTGCAATCGTTTGAATCCCATCAGCCGTTAATTATACCATCAAATCTGTTTCTTTGTGAATACCAATATTGATATTATAATGTCTTATAAATGCATCTTACTTTATAATGTAACACTGTCAATTTTACATAAATTGACAAATCGTTGTTTACTTATTGTCTGTATTAGCCACATTATCGTATGACCTTGGTGCCCGTCCACGTTACAGGCCGTACCTTGTGTGTTTTATGAACGGTTCTCGGCTGTGGCTTTTGACACAATGATAATTGTGTGTAGACGGTTATGTATATTCGGATAAAAAAAAATCTCAATAATAATATGAAGTAATAAATGCCTAAATATAACAACTATATCGGTACACTTTAGACTGAAACGTGTTTAGTTACATGTTATTACAGATTATAATTCGTTGTTGTTAGGAGTGGCATAGTTGTTACGTTACCGGAATGTTTGTAAACGGCACTTAGATTGTATTGCGGGATATCATTATATTATTGGAAGCTACAATTGCAAGTTGAAAAGTCATTTGTTAAAGTGATATATGTCCGTATCTGTTTGATATTAGCGATATCATCAAGTAACCAACACATGGATTACAGAGTTGACGGAACAGAATGTTGTTGTCACGGTCGACAGTTGTGCATTCGTGAGCTTGTATATACAAGACTAATTGATGTTATAGTCATTGTTGACTGTATATAAAATCAAATGCTGGTGACGTAAGATTGGTATTCAGCAGCTTACGACAATTACACAGAAGAAAGTTGATGGACAAAGTATGTGAATGTACAATGATAAGTAAGGACTGTTTATTAGTTTTATGGCGATATGATAATTTGAGGGTCTCTCCATGTAGACATTTTTGCCGTAATATGATAAATATATTATGACTATTCTCACTGTTCAATGCCACTGTGTATATATAGTCTGTGTTTGTTTGCTTAGGCCATTACTATTGTAATCATTCCAAATCAAATTAATCCAAGAGGGCACGTCGCTAAGTTATGAAAACTTCGCTCCAATCCATTTGTACTGTGTTATGTAATAAACTTGATTTAAACTTAACATACCGATGTTCATATTTTTTCTTGGTCATCGTTTATCCAAATCGAGAACCCTCGGCACTTTTCGTAAACGAGAAAAATACGTTTTTTCTCGCATACGGAAAGATCCCTCAGCCAAGTTTTCATCTGAAGTAAAACCATTATTAAAGTGGTTTCCGATCCGATTATTTTACTAATTGTCATTTTATAATATAACATTTAACACAGAACAATGCGGACAAAAACGTGGGGAAAAGTTCAAAGCGTTATTTAAAAAAACTGATTCAAACATTTTCACACCTTTGACCCCTGTAATATATGCTGCAGGCCAAATATCATGACACTTGACTCTTCTTTGTCATTTACATCCAGATCTGTGACTTTGAAAGTTAGATCATTTGTTCAAGCAACTGGATAGCCCTTTACCAAAGCAAGCTTCTTTCTTAATATCATGACACTAGACCTCTTGGTTATTCAGAAGTCGTTGAAATGTCTTAATACATTCGACCCATGTGAACTTAAAAGCGGTATAAGGTCATTCATATGCATCCGAGCATACAATTTGCCAAATATAGGCACCATAGACTTTCTGGTGTAACAAAAAAGACGCATGCGACGTTGAAAGTGGGCAAGGTCATTTATTTGAACAAACATTATAGCCCTCAATCCAAGAATTCTACCGGTCCAATAGCATCACCCATTCTTTTAAACCAAACTTTGGACGACGAACGGACGACGGATCAGGCAAGTCGAAATGTGTTCCGATCGTGAAGCATCAAGTTAACAAACGTGAAATTCTTAACATAATATAAGCCTTACAATTGAAAAATGTTTTTAACATATCTATACCTGTTGATAATAATGCCAATGGTCTGTGCTTCTTGTCATTATATATAGAAATCTTAAAAATAGGCCCCTAAAGTATACGTATACGTTAACGCATAACATTTTAAACGTTTATCTGAAGGGAGCATTAATTGTTTTGTAAAACCTGTCAAAACAAATGTTTTTTATCATATTTGGGATATTTTGGGATATATATAGACGTTAGAAGTACTTTGAGCCGTCATTGTGGAGTATGGGCACGCTCTACGGGAACAATTCACTACTTGTACGTGTATTTTATGTAGTAAGACTTTGCATAGCGCTATCATGCAGGTACATTGGTGACAGTGTATACGGCTGTGACGGTCAGATGATGCCAAACTACATTGATGATGTATTTCCTCTTAATAACAAGAACTTTAATTACTATGCACTGTAAATAATTTACATTTCGCGAGGTATTTATTTTAGCGTTAATCCACGTGAAGACTCCGTCGTGAAAATATATACTTTGGGGTTTTGGTTTAATTTAGGAATAATTATATCACTGTAGCATATCTGTAATGTATGGTTCTCTCATACGCGAATAAACGTAATCATGAGGTGTCAGATCGTGAAATAAAGTGAACGCGAAATATGAGTGATTTACAGTACATACTGTACGTGTCATACATCCTCCAGGATACCACTGACGTCTCTGCTTCAGCTGAGCTTCATATCTTATCGTTTACGCCTCCTACGACAACTATGGCAACCTGAGACCAAGGGCCTGTTCGTTTATGCGGAAGAGTTTTTAAATGTACCATTTTCGGGTATAAATCCTGGCGGACCTGCACATGTTTATGCAGGCTTTGCAAGTCTTTGTCAGGACTCGCCTGAAAGCAGCATGATATTACTAGGACCGACCTTATGTCATAAACGAACAACTTTAGTCCAACCGGTTCAACCGTTTGGGCCGCGATAAACGAAAACGGCACAAACTTAATGGGATGACTGGAATTTTGCTATTGTGAACTTTCATTTACTCAGTAGTAACATACTAGCCTCCCTTACGAAACTACAATCAACGCTTACGAAATGGTACGATCGCCATTCAAATATTGTTTCCCACTATGGGATTTATGTATCTGTTATGATTAATATCATGCTCAATTTGTCTTAAAAGTTAACTCTTACACCTGTCTGTATACCGTGGTCGATACACCTATACACCTGTCTGTATACCGTGGTCTATACACCTAAACACCTGTCTGTATACCGTGGTCGATACCCCTATACACCTGGCTGTATACCGTGGTCGATACACCTATACACGTCGGTATACCGTGGTCGATACACCTATATACCTGTTTGTATACCGTGGTCGATACACCTATACTCCTGTCTGTATACCGTGGTCGATACACTTAAACACCTGTCTGTATACCGTGGTCGATACACCTATACACGTCTGTATACCGTGGTCGATACACCTATATACACACCTGTCTGTATACCGTGGTCGATACACCTATACACATGTCTGTATACCGTGGTCGATACACCTATACGCCTGTCTGTATACCGTGGTCGATACACCTATACACCTGTCTGTTTACCGTGGTCGATACACCTTTACACCTGTCTGTATACCGTGGTCGATACACCTATACACCTGTCTGTATACCGTGGTCGATACACCTATACACCTGTCTGTATACTGTGGTCGATACACCTATACACCTGTATACCGTGGTCGATACACCTATATACCTCTCTGTATACCGTGGTCGATACACCTATATACCTGTCTGTATACCGTGGTCGATACACCTATACACCTGTTTGTATACCGTGGTCGATACACCTATACACCTGTCTGTATACGGTTGAGCTATAGTCAGTTACGTTGTACTGAATGAAATGTGCGTGAAAGTAGTGTACTGTGTGGGTAGCTTGTGTCTCGTACTCTACTATCAACACAAAACATTGTTTCTTTATGGCATTTTTATTCCAATATATCAAAATATATGTTAAGCAAATTAATTAGAATTTTCGAAGATAGAGATAGCTCCCTTCGGATAAACGTATAAACTTCTGCGTAAACTTATACGTAAACTTTAGAGGCTTATTTTTACGACCTCTTATACTAACATCTACTTTCCCTCTTTTCACAACTAAATAAATACCTCGATTTATGACACAGTTAACAATAACACAAACGAGTAGGACTTCCTGGTTGTAACCACGGGATCGCGGTCCTTGAAGCAGAACCGAATTTTAAAATTAGAGTAATGCGGAATAGTTAACGAGACTTAATGAGGTGTTTAAGTTGAACCACTCAACACCTAAATTTTAATTACTAACCACTTAAATAGCTCACATGCTCTTTGTAGGAATACGTAGATAACGATCGAGTCTGTTCCTTATCTAAAATGCATAAACTGCATTCTTAACCAAACATTTGATCAACATTAAAATATAGCTAAAGTTAAATGAAACAAATATACATTCTCAAACCTTTATTGATTAGCGCTCTTAGCGCTCTAGATCTAGAGGCATTGGATTTACCTACTGGTTTTGGATAATATTTATTTAGTTGTGGCGAGTTTTTCCTGTAATTGAGATGGGGAGCTTTTCTATCCGCCTCCGTGTTACATTTGATTATTCATACGTTAATGTTTAAGACGAAAAACGTTCTCCAGTTCATGATAACTGGCTACCTGCCTTCTTAATCTAGATGATGACTTAATCTCGTATCTGTTTATTTTTTTTAAATCCTTTGTTAATTTTGTGACGGGGAGTGAAGAGAATGCTCGGCTCGCTTCACTCGACTAACTCTCACATCATATAGCATAATCTTATTTCCAGGGTCTTCATGTTATGTGTTGTTTCACGAATCGTTATTATTTGGTCTTATTCTGTATTGTGATCGTTTTTATCACATAATCAAGATTTGTGGCATTTATTTTTGTAAAGCGACATTATTCATGCAACCTTGAAATGTAAAAAAGCCGCCATTTTGACTCCAGTGCGTAAGTCTGTGACGTCATGTACTTGTCCTAGGCGTGACGTCACAATTGAAACAATTAAAACTTACAACCAATTACAGGGCTGCTAGGTCATATTACACGGGTTAATACGCAACAAAATATGACATGGGTATATTCACTTGATAACACAGTACATTATGTGATATTATCATATGTTTACTCAGAATATGAGCGTTTTTGCATATTGATAACTTCTGACCACTCCTGATACCACTTCCGGTCACCCGTGTGATAAGTTTCTCGTAATGCACCCCCCATGCGATAACAATTCTCGTAATGCACCCCCTGTTCGGAACACTTCTACTTCTCTATTGGATATGGGAAGCGCCCGAACCGGATTTGCGCTGTCAGTTGGTTTTTTGCTTAGACAGTGTGTTGAGCAGACGTCAACAAACCAGGGAGAGGAAATACCTAATTCTCTAGCGTCTAGAATACTTGAATTGGATGACCTCATTGATAAGGAAAATGCGGAGAAGAGTGCAAGGTTCGGTTGTGACGAGGACACGGAGAACTTCGTCAAAAGTATGAAAACACAAACACTCACAGAAAAACGGCGTCGGACGTCGGAGTTGAACATATGATAAAAAGTTTATAATATGACCATTTGACCCCGAGGGCTGATATCGGGACCGAGGGCTGATAAGGGATATGATATCAAAATGGTCATATAATAACCTCTAAATAAAGCCTACTATGAACAAGAGGCCCACTTTGTCAGGACCATGAGTCGATCATTCCTATTAAGTTTCAGTTCAATCGGGCCAGTAGAACTGGACTTTAAGTTTGAAATAGTTTATCAAAATGGCGGCCGTGGCGGCCATATTGGATTTCTGATTGACCCGAAAAATAACAACACTTGGTCAGGGAGATGTCAGTAACCTTCCCATGAAATATTAATGAAATCCCTTGGCCAGTATTTCAGCTTAAGTTGAAAATGTAAAATGTTAACGGACGACGCACGACGACAGACGAAGACGGATAGCAATATATAGGTCACTTGAGCTAAAGCACAGGTGACCTAAAAACTCCATTCATACAAATGCCGAAAGGCTGATATCTTAACATATAAAAACGTGCCTGTGTAAAATGGATTTTTTTATTACATTCTTCACACACTTACATGATATCTCAGTTACATAAATAGCACAGATTTATTCACTTTCACTCCTGCTTAAATGGACATTGTCATACACACGTGAATTTTTTTATCAAAAGTGCTAGGACTGGCTGAATCATAACACATAGCCCTCCATGTGCATTGTTTACATAGGAGACGCCCTTACTGTATTTGTTACATGAGAGTTTGATTTCACCATGGAAGGGGGAATGACACGGGTATCAAAAACCTATCATTTCAAGTTTGACATAATATCTGCTGTTTAATCAATCTTTTGCAATAAATCAATATGGTTATTCAATTCAATTCCAGAATTATGCTATTTGTTATCTATTTGGACCATTACAGTCAGTGCAGAGCAGTGTAAACCCTACTATTTAATAGTTCTGTCATTCTGAACACATTTACACGGAAGGGAAAAGTGTCTCCACCAAATGACCACTAAACATAGCTAGACAAATTGTTCTGACAATACATAGGTACCATACAACATCAGACAACTGTATACACTTCAATACATCACAACTGTTACACCATTCTGTCTCGGCAACATTCACCGTGTGGAGAATTCAGTATTTCTTCAATGTCTTGCGTATGAGGGCCATTCTCTGAAAAAGTCAAACAAACCTTATATCAGTACGCAGTATTTGGTATTAGAATAATCATTACTGTACCTAGTTTGTTGTGTTTTTAAGGATGAACATTATAATTATGGTTGTTAGAGCTGTTCACCATCAGCTGCTATGCTTCTTAATATTATTGTTCTTTTGAAAAGTACCATATGTGTCTATGGACTGTATATACGTAATAGGTCGTGGACAGAAGGTGTCACTGTATTATTTCCAATTTGTTCAAAACACCAATACAGCCATCGTGACGACAGCTACTTTTGATTAACATTCCATACTGCTGTGTTTTACAGTGTCCTTTCAAAGTGAATTCATTGTTTTGAAAAAGAGTACATATATCCCTGCTTCTCTTCACCCAGGGCGGCTGTCTCTCAGCAACACCCTTCCCTTATCTGGTCTCATCACCCATCCCCCGCTTATATAACATTGAATAATCTTGGCCCAAAGCTACTCTATATCAAATTTGGTTTAGTTCCCTTCTTCTGTTTTCATGTCAAGTAGCATTTTAAAGGGAAAAGTTAATGGTTGGACAATGGACACTGCTCTATGGCATAGCTCTCCTAAGGTCATTTGGACAAGGTGAGCTAAACAAGATCTGTCAAGTTCTACATGAAAAATAGTGATAACAAACTTGAACCATCAAATCAAAGATGGCTGACTGGCTGTCATCCAGTTTGTGTACAACCACAGTCAATGGGAAACCTACCTGTACATGAACAGGAAAGATCTGTCAAGTAGAATATAGAAATGTTCATTGGTGACTATATTTGCTATTTATGGAGTGGCTTTTAGATTACCACTAGAATATAAAGTGTGCTGACAAGGTTAGTGACCTGTTTGTGAGCTTCTGTAGAACACGCCTTCTTGTATGGACGTAGTTCATCAGATCCAAAACCGGGAATCCACATATTCCAGTTCCTCTCTGAAAAAATAATCAATAAAATAACTTAAAACAGTCAAACTTGGGAGTGGAGATCTGGGCATCTGATTATGATCCGGTCACAAAGAAACAGTAGACTGAAGCCACAGGAGACTTACCGAGGTGGAGCTGAACGTCCTTGACCTCTAAAGTAGTGGACTTCCTGTGTTTGGCGATCTGACAGGCCGAGTTGACAATGCTGTCGATGAAATCATCAGCCACTTGCAGGAGTACCTACACATAACAAAAGTTGTAATCATTTGTCCTCCACATATTTATCTTAACAATCTGCCCCCTGTTTGTGCCCTTTCACACTTTACAAAGTCCCAAGATGAGCCCCCTGTTCGTTCCCTTTCACACTTTACAAAGTCCCAAGATGAGCCCCCTGTTCGTGCCCTTATACCTTTACCAAGGCCCAATTTGAGCCCCCTGTTTGTGCCCTTTCACACTTTACAAAGTCTCTATATGAGCCCTCTGTTTGTGCCCTTTCACACTTTACAGACTCGTGCCCTTTCACACTTTACAAAGTCCCAAGATGAGCCCCTTGTTCGTGCCCTTATACACTTTACAAAGTCCCAATATGAGCCCCCTGTTCGTGCCCTTTCACACTTTATAAAGTCCCAAGATGAGCCCCCTGTTTGTGCTCTTTCACACTTTACAAAGTCCCAATATGAGCCCTCTGTTTGTGCCCTTTCACACTTTACAAAGTCCCAATATGAGCCCTCTGTTTGGCCTTTAAGCTTGCTATCTTGGCTAAATGAACCACAGATAACCATAGGAAAACCATTGACGGAAAATGTTAACATTATTAGCATAATATTTTTTATCAAAAAGTCTAAATAAAACAATTTCATCCAAAACTGAGTTTAAAACAAAAATAAGAAAACAAAGTTCCATTCAACCCTAGTTAAAACCTGACATGATCCACTCCATTCAGGTCTTCCCAAAAAGAAATACACAAAACTCGCACCTCAAAGAAGACACTCTGGCAGTATTTATATAGAAAACCTGAAAAAAAAAATCATCACATTTTCTAAATTACGGACAGTTCGATTCAAATCGAAGTAATCACAACTGAAAAATGTACTGCCCCCCAGTTAATGTGGAAGGGACTATAATTTCTTTTATTCATTAATTTTTGACAGTCGCCCAAACTATTTTTGTTTGGACAGTGACTACCTAACTTTTGAAACTTTTTGTTCGCTCGAGCAACACTTAAACTGCCATTAGCGAGCAGGTGGCCGTCCATTTCAGGCACTGCTGCACAACAAGGGAACAAGGGGAACCTACATATAAAATTTGAGAAAGATCCCTCCCATACTTCCCGAGAAATAGCGATAACAAACTCTCACTATCAAAATCAAAAAATGGCTGCCTGTCGGCCATGTTGTTTATCCGATCAGTCTCAAAAGTTGCACTGCACAGCTAAGAACTAAGGGTAACATACATATAAAATTTGAGAAAGATCTCTCTGGTACTTCCCGAGAAATATTGATAACAAACTTTCACTATCAAAATCCAAGATGGCTGCCTGTCCGCCATGTTGTTTATACGATCAGTCTCAAAAGTTGCCCTGCACAGCTAAGGACCAAGGGAAATCTACATATAAAATTTGAGTAAGATCCCTCCGGTACTTCTTGAGAAATACTGATAACAAGAATTGTTTAGGAAGGGACGACGGACGGACCGACCAAGGACCACGGACGCAGGGTGATTTGAATAGCCCACCATCAGATGATGGTTGGCTAAAAATTGGCTGTGAGGAAAAGCTGATCTGATCATCTTACTTTTAAAAAATATTCTGGGCACCTGGAGGTAAAATCACAACTTATAATTTTTATAAAATCTGTGTTATTTTTATAACACATTGGCATTTTCATTTAATTGAAATCAGATCACTCTCTTCAAGGCCATACACTACAGTTTCATACATGTACCTCTTCCACATCATCATCAAGTTGTTCCAGGGGATCAACCTCTTTCACTAATTCCTGAAGTCTGCGCTTGTCTAGGACCTTGTTTTCGCCCCCAGCGGCTGGGTGAGGGGCCATGGGGGCTGGACTGGGGTGGGGCTGTCTCATTCCAAGGGGTGGCTGGGCGATTCCCATCATAGGAGATGGCTGGGCCACCATCGCTGTTCCATCAGTCGACATTTGGGGTGTCTTGTTCATTGTCTACAGAAATTTAAATCCAAATAGCAAATATAGCTGCTGTGATATCACAGGACACATTTAAATATATACATGTAAATAAATCACTGAGTTTGAATTTGTATCTGTTTGGCTTGCTTGAAGGTGGATTTATATATATAGAGGTACATGTATTTATATCTAGAGGTACATGTATTTATATATAGAGGTACATGTATTTATATATAGAGGTACATATGTATTTATATATAGAGGTACATGTATTTATATCTAGAGGTACTTGTATTTATATATAGAGGTATATGTATTTATATATAGAGGTACATGTATGTATATCTAGAGGTATATGTATTTATATATAGAGGTACATGTATTTATATATAGAGGTACATGTATGTATATCTAGAGGTACATGTATTTATATCTAGAGGTACATGTATTTATATATAGAGGTACATGTATTTATATCAAGAGGTACATGTATTTATATATAGAGGTACATGTATTTATATCTAGAGGTACATGTATTTATATATAAAGGTACATGTATTTATATATAAAAGTACATGTATTTATATATAAAGGTACATGTATTTTTATTTGCACATATAGTAAGGCAGTCGACTCTACATTGTAGATCTCTCATCAGAATTAATACAAGAGCCCAGAGGGCCTGTAACGCTCATCTGTTTCTTTTGTTACATGAAACTGACACATAGGTAACTTCAGACCAAATTTGGTAACTAGAACACAAGACATTTATACACCTCTTATAGGTATAGATAAAGATAAAAGCTGGCGTGTGTTTTAGCATGTGATGAGGGCTTCAAGGGCTGCATAGGGTGCCTTGAAGTTCTCTAGTGTTGTGCATTGTACTGCTGCTATGGGAAGGAGATTCCATTGTGTTATTGTGTGTGGAAAGAATGAATATGTGTAGGTGTCCTTTGTAGCAGATATGTGTTTGTATGCGTGAGGGTGTGCATGTCTGGTTCGAGGGTCTACGTGTGTGAGTATATATGTTGGGTTTATAGCTACGATTTGGTGTACAATTTTGTGAAAAATTTCAGCAATAAAAATGTTACTCAAATGGGTAGCTGTTTCCTAAATGCACGGGTATTACTTATATGCGCCGTTGTGCCCAACCTGTTAGAGTTTGTGTTTTATTGTTATTCCTCGACTTGCCGACTTTAAAAAAGGGTTATCTTATATCATTCTGAAAGCAGTATTATGAATCAGTAAATATTAGAGATCAACAAAAGCTACGCTCTTTTAAGACTTTGCCTTTTCATATTATTACCTTATAATTGTCAACAGAAGAAAATTGGCGTGTGTCTGTTTACCTTTCTTTTCTTTTCGACTCCATCTTGGAATAAATATCAGATGTCGTAAACAGAGAATATAATATTTTGAACAAAGTACGGACAGTCCGGAATTCCATATCGACGGTGCCGAGTCGGCGCGGGGTTTCAGACGATTCGCTAAAGTATTATAGGGTGAACGGCCGGGCCCCGGAGTAGAGACGTGTAATATGTACGTCTCTTCCTGGGGTAAACTTGGCCACCCCCGATACTTTTGATCGAGGATCCTAATGTAACAGTTAAAGTTAGTTGACTGGGCGGGACATTCACACAAAAAATAGCAAGGAAACCTCCACTATAAAATTACTAAAAGGAAGAACGATACTTTCGGGAGAATTGAAAGAAAATCATGACCTCACTTTTTTCGTATTGCATCAGTCTAAACAGAGACGTATAACGCCACTCTGTAGTATAATCAAAATGGTAACAAGAAAATGCAGCAAAACTACTGGACATCGGATTTTTTCATGACAATCACCTACTTACAGTCCAGCATCTACAAAGTAACGGATCCTGTACGCTTGAAATTATTCTTCGAATATAAATGGCATTTTTTTATCGCCCAGATCGAATATTCTATTCACGATCAGCATCCTTGCATGTTGCACTGTTGTCACTCAATAATTGTTCCAAGACTCGAAAATGTACATTTTTAACTGTCAGCAATTGGCAATACGTCATTTTCTGAGAAAGGATATAGAACATGATTTACATAAAATATCATTTATACAATGGACCTACTCGATTTCTTATAGATATTTTATTGGTAATCTAATTCCGTACGTGGTAATACCACGGACTTACATATGTGTAGATAGCTCTAATCTAATTCCGTGGTAATACCACGGACTTTCATATGTGTAGATAGCTCTAATCTAATTCCGTGGTAATATAATTTATCTTTTGAATAAATAACAAATATTTATAGACTCCCTTTGAATAATATATAAAATATCAATATCTGGTTTAGAATACTTGTCGAAGAAGTTATTAACTCTCGAATGTACATAGCGTAGATTTTCTGTTTGTTAGCACATGTTAGTTTTATATGGGTGAAATATGTATCTGGTAATCACCGGGGAAAATATAACATTTTATTTTTATTACATTACTTTTGACATTGCAATCCCTGCATCATATACCGAATGTGTCCCACATTTCCTGGTCCAGTGACTGCTAAATAATCCTAACCTGTGCTACTTTTTGCATCTAGCTGTGTTTTTTGGTGTAGTATCTCAAAACGTTTAGTCCCACGCCACCTAAACTTATATAAACAATACAAGTAAATACAATTTTGGTATTTTAATTTATAATAATGGCCCAACTGTCATACAGTTACAGCTAAACGGAAGTTAAGGGGAGGTAACTGTATAACGACAAAACAACAGTTCAATGCGACAGGGATCCTTAATTGAAATACACTTTTATTGTACTTATCTTTGATTGAACAGTTCAGCTCGTTTTCTACAAAAGTACGAGGACAGCACCACCTAAACCTAGACTTACATGTATGAGCTATCTGGTTGTTTGCTTCAGATTCTTAAACGACGATTAAACAAACTAAAGTTTTGTAACAGACAATTTAATAAGTAAGTTTTGCATTCAGCTAATATATTTAAAAGTATATTTCCTATTCCAACTAAATTTCCACTGTAAATGCATCTTCAGAAGTACACGGTACACTTTACTGCTGTATACATGGATCCTAATCTGTTAGCCTACATGTAATTTGGTCCAGATATAACTTTTGTGATTTGTTCTCAGGCGCGTAGCTATCCCCTTTACTATGTGTAAGCCTGACATAGTCTCCCTCACATTTTCGTCTTCTGTTTGTGCTTTGTGACTGGTTCCTTATACTTGCTGCTGTTATTTGTTGGGCATTTCGAGAAGCGAGGTTGCCCCACTAACTATTAACAATGTATCATATCTGAGGAATTACATATGTATAGTATATATTCAAAACTTAAACTCCACTTTATGGTATCATCAAGAAAAAAAAACCGTCATGAAAACCTATACTTGTCAAAATCATGTGCAAGCCCGGGCTTATTGGCTTACATGGTAGCTACGCGTCTGGTTCTGATTCTAATTTTACTATTGGTGGCTAAACAGGCAAATCATATTCTATGAAATTCTTGTTTATATAACAAATACAAAATAAAAGCTGTGTATTATGACACACCGAGTTATTCAACCAATATGTCGGATTCCACAGGGTGTCAAATAAGACAGATTTCACTGTACAGGCACATTTCACCCGTGGTAATGTTCCATTTTGCGAATCAATCTCTCGTAAGCAAGAATTGTTGTTGAAATTGTGAATAGATTTCTTGTTATCTTGATTATCAGTACTTATATGATCTTCTATTTTCAGTATACAGGATCGCCATCTTGATTCAGCACTGCATACTTGATTACCTCCCTTTGCCGAGTGTGTATTTCCATGAATTGATTAGAAGAATTGAAAAGAATCGTGTATAAGTTAATACAGAAAGATCAATTCTATTCCCGATTACAACTGCTCCTGAACACTCAATTAAACATGAAGGTAGACAAAATAGATGAAGATCATGAATGATTAGCTCAAGTTGCCAATTATGTAGTATCTTTTCAATTCTACTGATTAACTCATTACTCCGCAGAACCAAATGATCCAGAGACCCTGTAAACATACTTATTTTAGCAGTATAGTTATTTCTTACATAACGCACTTATAATCATGACTGATTCTCCAACTCTACATCTGCCAGGTTCAACAATTTCCTTCACGAACATATTATATTATTCATCTTTTGTATTTATTTTTTGCTAAAATAAGTATGTTTACAATTCCCAATCAAAATAAAGACAAATGTATTTTTACAAAATCATAACACTTATACATGGATTGTGGCGTAAATGGCTCACCGCCGAATTTATTAAATTATCTGTTTTGTTTTTATTTTGCTTGTTAGTCCCCCGCCGGTTTCCGGGACATATCTTCTATACTATTTCACCTGGAGTAACCAGATTTGGTGTACAAGGACATCTTGGGATGGCGGAGTGCAAGAAGCAGGTCACTATACCCTCACTGTGACCTATGCTTTGACCTTTGACCTGAACTTTTGAAAAAGTTTGTCCGGGCATATCTTCTATACTTTTCACATGAAGTTACCAGATTTGGTGTACAATGACATCTTGGGAAGACGAAGTGCAAAGGGTAAATATTAGGTAACTGTGACCTATGACTTGACCTTAGTATATTAAAATATTATTTGAAACTACTTTGTTATAAGTGTACATGTATAATAATAGTTATTTAATATTCGTTAATAGCGCGTTAAATAGTACTTTAATGATCATGACATACCATGGTTCTTTCTGGCTGTTTCAAGTTATGTAGTGTTTTCATTATGATGTCATTATTTCATGACGTCACATATATACATGTAGTAACGTCACAAATATAATTATATTGTTAAATACTGTCCTTTCAACAACTTTACGAAATAGCATGCTGTAAAAATGTACGTGAAATCATTAATACATGTCTGTAGGTATAAATATATTTGAATGGAATTGTCCTCCGCCATCTTGTACATTGCATATGAATATCTAATTATGTATATTTGTAACCTATATGCTGTATTGCATTTGGATATAATTAAACTTGAAACTTGACCTTAAGTTTTTTTTTAAGTTTGTCCGGGGCATATTTTCTGTGCTATTTCACCTGGAGTAACTAGATTTGGTGTACAAGGACATCTTGGGATGGCGGAGTGCAGAGTGCAAAAATTAGGTCACTGTGATCTATGACTTAACCTTTGACCCTTACTTTGGAAAATGTTTGTCCGTGGCATATATTCTATTCCATTTCACCTGGAGTACCAGATTTGGTGAACAAGGACATCTTGGGATGGCGGAGTGCAAGAAGTATGTATCGGGATACTTTCCTAACAGTAGGTACATCCTTTAGTATACTGTTTGTTAAATATAGAAATCATTACTGGATTATGAATTATGGATTGGCTTGGTTTTTTTAATGATTTATCTTTCAGATTTTATTTTTGCCACCAGAGATAGATCAGAATATGCTGGAGAGCAGGCTACCCAACCCTACCCCCATTTAGGAGGAGGGAGGGAGGTTTTCCTTGGGCTCTGACCAGCTGGCAGTGTTGTCTCACCTCTGATCGTTCCCACAGTTACATATTAACAAAGCCAACGGCTTCAACAATTAAAAGGATAAATTCCCTTATCTCAATGCGTATAATAAGAAAACATCTTGATGTATGGCGTCTGATTCTCACATACTATTCTATCAAAATTGCTCAGTAGTTATTAAACATGAAAGGTCTAACTTTGTACAGGATTACTGGCTATTATAACTTGGAAACAACTTGGAAAAAATGCATGCTGTTGGCAAATAAGCAGTTATTTTTGACAATCACTTGGCCCAATCTAAATATAAAAAGTACTTCTCTCTTCAGTCAGTGAATAGAAACATGAGTTTCAGCTGTTTAAAATTTACAGTTAAAATGTTCTTAAGTCACTTGGTTTCTTCTTTCTTGCTGGCACAGTTATAGTAAATGTCCCTCTATACGAATTGGAATATTCCTCCTTCACAAGTTACAAATTCAGCAGCATTTTGGTGTGCAGATACAGATGCTGTAGATACCAAGTATTCAGGACACGTGTTGTAATGTACTGAAATGTAAAATAAGAACGACTGTAAAAATCTTTGTTAAACATTAACTTATGACAAAAAAATCAGTGTTTAACACTTTGCTCCAATTCACATACTCGTCATACCACTAATTCATAAAGTGAAAGTAATTAATTAAAATTAGAGGTAAAATCTTTATTTAAATTTATCTAAATTAGGTATTGCCAAGTATCAAGGTATCTTAACATGTATACATTTCTTCTTGCAATTAAAGGAAACTTAAGATGTACCACTTTACTACTCAAAAATGGAGATTTCACCTTCATAACCTTACCTAAGACACTAGCCTGTCGTGGCGCTGTACTTGTGTATTCTGTGTGGGTGGTGATATCAAGCTCTAGTGTGTAGTGGTGATGTACTTGTGTATTCTGTGTGGGTGGTGGTATCAAGCTCTAGTCTGTCGTGGTGATGTACTTGTGTACTCTGTGTGGGTGGTGGTATCAAGCTCTAGTCTGTCGTGGCGATGTACTTGTGTATTATGTGCGGGTGGTGATATCAAGCTCTAGTCTGTCGTGGTGATGTACTTGTGTACTCTGTGTGAGTGGTGGTATCAGTACTTGTGTATTCTGTGTGGGTGGTGATATCAAGCTCTAGTGTGTAGTGGTGATGTACTTGTGTATTCTGTGTGGGTGGTGATATCAAGCTCTAGTCTGTCGTGGTGATGTACTTGTGTATTATGTGCGAGTGGTGGTATCAAGCTCTAGTCTATCGTGGCGATGTACTTGTGTATTCTGTGAGAGTGGTGGTATCAAGCTCTAGTCGGTCGTGGCGATGTACTTGTGTATTCTATGTGAGTGGTGGTATCAAGCTCTAGTCTGTCGTGGCGATGTACTTGTGTATTCTGTGTGGGTGGTGATATCAAGCTCTAGTCTGTCGTGGTGATGTACTTGTGTATTCTGTGTGGGTGGTGATATCAAGCTCTAGTCTGTCGTGGTGATGTACTTGTGTATTATGTGTGGGTGGTGATATCAAGCTCTAGTCTGTAGTGGTGATGTACTTGTGTATTCTGTGTGAGTGGTGGTATCAAGCTCTAGTCTGTCGTGGTGATGTACTTGTGTATTCTGTGTGGGTGGTGGTATCAATCTCTAGTGTGTAGTGGCGATGTACTTGTGTATTCTGTGTGGGTGGTGATATCAAGCTCTAGTCTGTCTTGGTGATGTACTTGTGTACTCTGTGTGAGTGGTGGTATCAAGCTCTAGGCTGTCGTGGTGATGTACTTGTGTAATCTGTGTGGGTGGTGATATCAAGCTCTAGTGTGTAGTGGTGATGTACTTGTGTATTCTGTGTGAGTGGTGGTATCAAGCTCTAGTCTGTCGTGGCGATGTACTTGTGTAATCTGTGTGGGTGGTGATATCAATCTCTAGTCTGTCGTGGTGATGTACTTGTGTAATCTGTGTGGGTGGTGATATCAAGCTCTAGTGTGTAGTGGTGATGTACTTGTGTATTCTGTGTGAGTGGTGGTATCAAGCTCTAGTCTGTCGTGGCGATGTACTTGTGTATTCTGTGTGGGTGGTGATATCAAGCTCTAGTCTGTCGTGGTGATGTACTTGTGTACTCTGTGTGAGTGGTGGTATTAAGCTCTAGTCTCTCGTGGCGCTCTCCTTGTGTATTATGTGCGGGTGGTGATATCAAGCTCTAGTCTGTCATGGTGATGTACTTGTGTACTCTGTGTGGGTGGTGATATCAAGCTCTAGATCTGTCGTGGCGATGTACTTGTGTATTCTGTGTGGGTGGTGATATCAAGCTCTAGTCTCTCGTGGCGCTCTCCTTGTGTATTATGTGCGGGTGGTGATATCAAGCTCTAGTCTGTCATGGTGATGTACTTGTGTACTCTGTGTGGGTGGTGATATCAAGCTCTAGATCTGTCGTGGCGATGTACTTGTGTATTCTGTGTGGGTGGTGATATCAAGCTCTAGTCTCTCGTGGCGCTCTCCTTGTGTATTATGTGCGGGTGGTGATATCAAGCTCTAGTCTGTCATGGTGATGTACTTGTGTACTCTGTGTGGGTGGTGATATCAAGCTCTAGATCTGTCGTGGCGATGTACTTGTGTATTCTGTGTGGGTGGTGATATCAAGCTCTAGTCTCTCGTGGCGCTCTCCTTGTGTATTATGTGCGGGTGGTGATATCAAGCTCTAGTCTGTCATGGTGATGTACTTGTGTACTCTGTGTGGGTGGTGATATCAAGCTCTAGATCTGTCGTGGCGATGTACTTGTGTATTCTGTGTGGGTGGTGATATCAAGCTCTAGTCTCTCGTGGCGCTCTCCTTGTGTATTCTGTGTGGGTGGTGGTATCGAGCTCTAGTCTGTCGTGGTGATGTACTTGTGTACTCTGTGTGAGTGGTGGTATCAAGCTCTAGTATGTCGTGGCGATGTACTTGTGTATTCGGTGTGAGTGGTGGTATCAAGCTCTAGTCTGTCGTGGGCTGGTGATGTACTTGTGTATTCTGTGTGGGTGGTGATATCAAGCTCTAGTCTCTCGTGGCGCTCTCCTTGTGTATTCTGTGTGGGTGGTGGTATCGAGCTCTAGTCTGTCGTGGCGATGTACTTGTGAATGATCAGTAGAAAGGACAGCCCTTAATGGGTCGTTGCTTCCGTTAATTGACAAAGTTACATTTTAGTTATCTATATTTGATACATTTACATATATTAAAAACTGTCAAATAAATTCTACATTTGTTTTCTTTTTTTGTACCATTTTCTTTTGTTTAATTTGTTGCTTTTTAAAGTTTCAATGTATTAATATGTATATATATATTTTACGTTTATTCTTTTGTGGGAGAAGGGAAGATAATGTTGATTCATACTCGGCCTTTCCAAACACCATTCTTCTCCTGATAATAAAAAAACGCTGTTGATCTATCAAGTGGATTCGCACAAGATTCAACTCCGTTTTGCTATTGTTCAATCTAAGCATATCCAGTAAAATCACACACCAATGATTTTAAAGAATTATTTTGCTGAAAACATAGAAAATCAGAGAGGAACATAGTTTGAAAGACCCGATTAAAAGACCAATATTGTTTATTAAAAGGATTCTTTTGTTTTTTGGTTGTTGGTTTGTATTTTTTACCTTTTTTTAAAGTTTAAAATATTTAGAGTGAGGCCATTTTGATGATAAAACAATTACATTTGAATGGATGATGGATAGGGCAAGGACACACAAACGTGTTTACATATCGGACATTGATAAACATTTAAAAGTGAAGAGAAGGTTAGTTATAAAAATATAAAATTAAAAATATCCATTCAGATGGGCTCTCTTTTGGAACGAGATTATACCTAGAAAGACCCACGGGTGTGGTCTTGGCTCCGTCCTCAGGGTGTGGTCGTCTCCTCCGTCTTCAGGTTCCGCAGCAATCTACAACTATATGCAGTCTAAGGGGGGCCAATCACAAGAATGTAAGCTATAGTTTCCCCGTGTGAATGGTTAGTTCAATTGGGTATAGAAAGGACAGCCTTAATTGGGTTTGAGCTTCCGTTTATTGACAATGTTACATTTAAATTGTTAATGCTTGATACTTTTTGTTTTTTAGTTCTGAATTTATTTTCTTGAAATTAACGCTTAACATTTACAATATTGAAGATGGGGTTTGAACACGAAAACCATACTATACAGTAAATTTGAATGAGGCAAACCGGGTGTTAAGTCAATTACATTTGACTTGATGATTGGTATTGAACATACCTATTTATTGACAAAAAGAAAGTATATTAGTGATACACGGTTATCGTATTACCCAAGTTCAGAAAATATAAAATCGATATATATATATTATCTTTACGCCGCGTACTTTAAAATACAAAGCACTGTTGCTTTAAATAACTAGAAATTCTTTTATACGAGAAGGAATGGCAATTTTCAGAAGAAATTTCAAACCCACTGTATCTCTCCTGATTTTCAAATTATAAACGCTGTTGATACATCAAGTAGATTCGCCCCAGGTTCAACTCCTGTTTCACAAATACTTAGAGCCAAAAAAACACCTGCATCATCAAATACAATATCATTCTTGCCACATGAGGGTGTATGGCATGATCGAGTCTGCATTTGATGCGACTTGACATGCCCACATGTTTTGAGAAGGAATATTTGTAAAAGAATAGCAGACATTTTCTTGATAATGATCTTTGCAATAAAAGAGAAAAACTCAGTTTGAAAGACCCGATCAAAAGACCACCATTGTCCATTAAATTCATTGTAAAAGTTGTGAGTAGCCTTTTTTGAACTTATATCGTGTGCATTATCTTTCCACAATTGATGTTTGGGCAAGAAAAGGACATACAAATACCTTTACATATCATACATTGACACAAAGAAAAATATATAAAACTGATACACGAGTTAGTAATACAATTATCAATTAAAAAAGTCAGGTGGGCTCTCTCTATCGGACCAACACCTTACCGAGAAAGACCCACGGGTGTGGTCGGGCTCAATATTCATCGTGTTGTCGTTTTCTTTCGTCTTCAGGCTCCGCACCAACCTACAACTATATGCAATCTAAGAGGTGTCAATCACAAGAATGGAAGCCATAGTATTCCCCGTGTGAATTGTTTGTTCAAATGGGTATAGAAAGGACAGTCTTTAATGGAGCTTCCATTCATTGACCGTGTTACATTTACGTTATTTACAATTGATAGATTCATATATAGATTGAAGAAAGGTCAAATTAATTTTACATTTTCCTTTTTAGTTTTAAATTGTTTACACTTCTGTTGAAGGAGATGTTCGGTAAAAAGTGTACGAAAAATGGAGAAAAAAAAATCAAGAAAGATCACTACGTTTCGTATATAGTGACTTTTCGTCTTCCTTTGAACTTTTAGTCCAAAATCAAACTCTGATTTACTACATATAAGACGTTTGAGACACATGGCCTGTGAAGTCTATAAAATAGTTAAGAAAATCTCTCCACGCTTTATCCATGATATGATTGAAATAAAGGTAACTAATTATAATTGTCGACAAGAGAATACAGCTGTATTACCTAGGGTCAACACTACAAGGTCTGGACTCAAATCTTTCCCTTACGAGGCCGCCCGGTTGTGGAACAGTCTACAGCTCCCCTCAACTCAGAAAAGTAGACAGATACAATGAATTTAGCAGACTGGTCCAGACGTGGGATGGCCCCGTTTGCTCTTGTAATGTCTGTCGCAGTGTGTAGCTAGTCCGCTTTGTTTCGTGTTTAGATTTGTGTGTGTTTTATACTGCTTCTTCGGATTTGTTCGAATGTTTGCTCTTATTTTTTTTTTCATTTAATTTATTTTATTACTATGTTCCGTTTGTTTTACATGTTGTAAATGTGTTTTATATATAGTTATGATAGTTGTAAATTGTAGTTCATAATGACATAATGTTTTATGCTAATGTGTATTTTATGGTAAAAAATACTGTCATGCTATATGTATGCATGTATATATATTTATAACTTTGCATGGTGACTTATGTCTTAACACTTTCTGTTTCATCAGAAATGTTTTATATATGTAATTTTTTGATTTGATGCTTTTTACTTATGTTTGTCGGAATAATACCTTTCAATAGCTAATGCTAAATGTTTTTAAATATCCGACGTTAAATAAAGTTTATTGTATTGTATTGAATTGTAACCCCGGAGCCAGTTTAGAACCGTCATGTGGAACAGGTATTAGAAAACACTCGTTTCTGTTTACGGCATAAACTAGTATCGTGCGAACGCTTGGTGTAACGGAGACGCTTGTAATTCATATCGTGGTTCATAAACAATAACAAATGGAAAAAGAAAAGAAGTTAAATATACAAACAGCATCCGTATGTATCAACGACATTCACTGACTTCAAATTTCAAACCTTCAATTGGTCCTGAATGGGAAAATAGGTCCATGTGTGACGCGACTTGATTTGTTTAAATGACGTTTCGAATACGACCCGACTGCACTTATTTCATTTTCAGCATCTTTGTATTCCGCTGTTCTGTCAATCAGTTGACCGTTACACAGTGTTTTGCATATGGTTATATATACCATTCAAATTTTTCATAGAAGGAAAACCACATAGCAAAAAAAATTGTTACTTATATTTACATAGAGGCATTTTAGACAAACGTACACACCGAAATGATAGTTGTAGCTGTGTTTTGAGCAATAAAGCATTAACATTGAGGAACTCATTTCTGAGTCCTTAAAGTGAAATTTGCCGAATAAACGAAGTAGCTCAAAATTAGACAGCAATGTGTTTTTTACGTTGTTTATCAACAATGTTTATTCTTTATTTTTAATTGGATATATAGTTATATATATGCAGTTAATTCCATAGTACTAATATTAATACCATACTGCCCCGACCTTAAAATGTATCGTCGTCAGAAAGCTAGAAAGCTACGTTATCGCAGCTATTAATTCCATAACTCTACATTGACATCCTGTTGAATTCTCTTATCTTCATTGAACGGCGCCATTATGTGACAAGTTTCGGTGCGCGTCTATTTACAGTACACATTACAATATATACTGTGATACCACTATACTGTTCAAAAAGGTGCGTGTGTGTATGTTTAGAAAATCATTTTGACTTTTTTCTCTACATTTTTTTATCACATTAAAAAAGTTTTAACTGCAGACATAGCGCTGACTTTTTGACCAAGGTTAACAGCGGAAAACTGCCTCCCCTTGTAAAAAAAATGCTATATTCCTACCCCAACCCCCACCCCCCAAAAAAGGAACACAAAAGAGAGGAATATCTTCCTTATTTCAATAAATGTGCTGCTAAATATTCCCATGAATCTTATTTTTTTGTATGGGCCCCAGGGCTTATCAATGGTAATGAGGCACTTATATATATATATACAAATGGTGTCGGGTCATACACTGTCCAGTTATACATTATGACCATGTTTCAGCAGAAGGCATTCAAATACCAGACAAATTATTATCCTCAAAACATGGAGGCATTATTTTTTGAGGTATGTTATATATTAATTAGCTATCTTAGACAGCTATTGATATTTCCAGTACATTGTGTTAATTTTACCTTTTTTTCAGTTGGTTGATTTGAAGGCAGAACTTTACAGGAAACAAGAAGAATTCAAACAGCAAAAACTAAACGACAAAGGCTTAAGTTATGTCCGCCCAAAAGCATCAGAAAAGGTTGGCTATATTCTTACATGTCTGATAACAGTGATATACTGTATATCTCGCGAGCTGACTTCCTTTTTATTTTCAGTATGCTGAATTATTTTCATATTTTTTTTATCATGTATTAAAAATGACTTAAACATTAGGAGATGAACATTGTATATATATAGATGAGACAATCTTGTTTTGTTTTGCTACACTTTGAATCTGAATGAGCTGTAGAGTTGTATAAGCTGAGCCTGAATCTGAATGAGCTGTATAATTTTATTATGGCCCATTTCCCGAGGGAACTGTTCTCTTATAGTGTTGTCTGAGTAGGCACTACACCTCTCCAGACAACACTATAAGAGAACTGTTCCCGAGGGAAAGGGTCATAATAGATTTAGTACATCACATGACTATCATTTTACAATAAAAAGTAACATATTTAATAATTAACAACAAATGGCAATAAGATAATTTTTTGAGTAGATCTCTCCTTTTTTGTTGCGTATTCAATTCACTGGATTGAATCACCGCTAGGTCACATACGGTTCCCCTTCCCAGTAGGAAGGTTTCGTCTTTATGCATTGCTGAGCATCTGTGAAGCAATCGGCATTCCTGGTCCCGAAATTCGAAGCCATTTTGGCAGACGACAACAATGAAGTGAAAGTAGAATATGTACAGCGCCCCCTAGGAGAAGGGGCACAACTCTTAGCGTCACACTACTTTTCCCGCAGTCTCAGCGGTCCAAAAACCCCAACAAGGGTAGTTATCCAATAGCTATCCTAGAAATGATCATGTGATGTACTAAAGTTGTATAGGCTGAGTCGGGGTTTTTTTGTGAAGTAGATTAGATAGACATGGTGAGACTACTTCAACATGTTGTACATTGCTAGGTTTTGTCTTTTGTTTATAAGAGTTTGATGGAACAGAGGATGTATTTATTTAAATTTCACTTTTCTGATGATTTATATTTGCAGAAGAATGATATATGGAGTACGAAAAATGCAGGCGTTCTTGAGAGAGCCCAAAGAGATTTTGAAAGGAAAACAGAAGAAGAAAATGTCTTTGAGAACTCAAAGTTAGTGAATACATTATAATACTTAAAACAGTTGTGTTAATTATATTGAAAATAAACAACATGAAATTATCTTTGAATTTTAAAATTTGGTGCAAAATTTATCAAATGAAATATATGATCTAACCATTCATTCTCATGAGCTGTCAATATTAATAAGCTAAGTGTTTAAAATGTATTCTTTTCTAGGAGAAGACTTGAAGCAAAAGCCAAAATGTATGACAAAATGACACAGGGATCAGAAATTCCAGGTACAATTGGCTGGTTTGTTATGTCTCCCCTTTGAATGATTCCTCTGGTTCTCTTTCTCCTATAAAATCTTGTCCTTGATGAACCTTTAAATCCTTAAGTAACAATGTGAGGAGTCGCATGACCTCTCAATGATTATTCCACAGAAAATTGGTGGGAAAAAGCTCCACCTCGAGGCCCATTTTTAGTATAAACTGACAAATTCCTTTCTATATGATACATAGCCTAATCCATTGTGAAAAACGGTTTGTTTTGACTAAAGAAATAAAGAAAAAACAAAATTGGAGTCCTTGCATGCTTTCATTTATCTGAAACAAAATTGTCATCAGTTTAAACTGTGCAGCACTATATTTCCACAAAAAGTGGGTGCAGCGGTATAGTTGATAATACTATTTTACATACCGGGTAGTAGATTATACCTATGGTGTACTATTTTACATACCGGGTAGTTGATTATACCTATGGTGTACTATTTTGCATACCGGGTAGTTGATTATACCTATGGTGTACTATTTTACATACCTGGTAGTAGATTATACCTATGGTGTACTATTTTACGTACCTGGTAGTAGATTATACCTATGGTGTACTATTTTACGTACCGGGTAGTTGATTATACCTATGGTGTACTATTTTACGTACCAGGTAGTAGATTATACCTATGGTGTACTATTTTACATACAGAGTAGTAGATTATACCTATGGTATACTATTTTACATACCGGGTAGTAGATTATACCTATGGGGTACTATTTTACATACCGGGTAGTTGATTATACCTATGGTGTACTATTTTACGTACCGGGTAGTAGATTATACCTATGGTGTACTATTTTACATACCGGGCAGTGGATAGTGAACTTGCCTTTAACCAAGGTGGCTGGGGTTCCAATTCTCGATTGGACGTGAAAAAATATGGGGTCACCTGCCCGACCACATGGGTTTTCTCCAGGTTCTCCGGTTCCTTCCACAGTAAGACATGCTAACATCCAGGCCAATAAGAGTGATTAGTATAATTTGTAAAAACTGGTTTCATAATTGTTGTAAAGTAAATAAAGTTTATATATTATATATACACATACTATTTGACAATTTATTTTACAGAAGTCAATTGGTTTTTTTTATGTTTTTTTCGTAACAGAAGAAGATGGCAGCAAAATTTACCTGGTGGACTTTCAGAAGAAAGTCATTGATCAAATGGTAGATGTTAGAGAGAAAGACAGAGAAAAGAGAAAGAAGGAAGAAGAGGAAGAACTGAGAAATCAAGAGGAGGAAATATTGTCAAAGGCAGATATTCCTCCACCGGCCAGCAAGGATGAAGAATGGCAAGTTTGGTTTTTGAATTGAACTATTACTTCAACTATGATGCAGAACGAACCTGGACCTCTTTATGTCGGTGATGTAAATTATACGTTTGGCAAAGTTCTTTGAGAGCCACAATAGTTTGTTTAGGGCAGGTCACTGAGTTTTCAAACCCCCAAGCGGTGCGAAGTGCCACCAGGGTTTGATCTGTAAACACTTTGTCCACTTCCGGTGCAAAATGTATTGACATTTAGGCCTAAACATGTGGTTAAAGCTGTACATTTGCGTGCTGACTGACAAAAGTGCTAAATGTAAGGATATTGAGTGTGAACGGAATATTTTGAATGACAAAACTAATGCCATTAACAATTTATAAATAATTAGAATCTAATAAAATCAAGTATGCATAATCCGTTCCCTCATAGTAGAACTGTCAGTAAGTCATTTTCATAAAAAGATTTGATGTCCAGCAGCTTTGCTGCATTTTCTAGTTTTACCAGTATTCCATTTTACCTTTTTTGCTGTTTTCGTATTAATAAGGTATTTAAGTATGTCAACCAAAAAGTATTGCTGTTTTGAAATAAGTAATTTAAACACATTATAAATAAAAAAAGATGGCATGGTTTCTTTCAATTTACATATTAATATTTTTATAGGATTGTTATATAAATTTTTTTATTAATTCATAACAGTATTTACATTGTATCATTGGCCTGCAGCTTACTAGGATATCAAGAGCTATCAAATCTGTGCAAGTTATGGCCATCAATTAAAAATCCAATAATTAATAAGTTTCTTGAACCTGTTGTGTTTAGTCATCAAACTTGATACACTGGTGACCCTGACCCTGTGTATCCCACGGCATGCCACACGAGAGGCGACTAATGTGGGCCTCCTACAGACTTAGGGGTTTCCATGTGACCCTGATCCTGTGTATCCCACGGCATGCCACATGATAGGCGACTAATGTGGGCCTCCTACAGACTTAGGGGTTTCCATGTGACCCTGTGTATCCCACAGCATGCCACACGAGAGGCGACTAATGTGGGCCTCCTACAGACTTAGGGGTTTCCATGTGACCCTGTGTATCCCACGGCATGCCACACGAGTGGGCGACTAATGTGGGCCTCCTAAAGACTTAGGGGTTTCCATGTGACCCTGACCCTGTGTATCCCATGGCATGGCACACGAGTGGGCGACTAATGTGGGCCTCCTACAGAGACAGGGGTTTCCATGTGAACCTGACCCTGTGTATCCCACAGCATACCACACGATAGGCGACTAATGTAGGCCTACTACAGACTTAGGGGTTTCAATGTGACCCTGACCCTGTGGATCCCATGGCATGCCACACGATAGGCCACTAATGTGGGCCTCCTACAGACTTAGGGGTTTCCATGTGAACCTGACCCTGTGTATCCCATGTGTGTGTTGTAGGGTGGACTATGTTTACATTGAGTTGATGTGTGTGTTGTAGGGTGGACTATGTTGATTCCTTCGGGAGGACCAGGACATGTCTGAGGAAAGATTTGAAGGACCTGACTGAAAGAGACAACAAAATGACAGCAGTCAGGTAAGTCTTATTACAGATATATAGGATCTTACATGAGTTTCCATTTCATATGAGATTGATGAAAAGAGTCTAAAGAATTTTTAGGTCACCTGAGACAAAGTCTCAAGTGACCTATTGCGATCGCCTTTTGTCCGGCGGCGTCCGTCGTTTGTTGTCCATCGTCCGTCGTGCGTCCGTAAACAATTTACATTTTCGACTTCTTCTCCAAAACCCCTGAACCAATTTCAAAGAAATTTTGCAGAAACCTTCCATGGCCAAAGGTCAACTAAAATTGTGAATTATATGGTCCTCAGCCCCCAGGGGCCTGAGGGGCGGGGCCAAAAAGGGTAAAATTGACTAAAATTTCAAAAATCTTTTTCTCAAGATCCAGATATGGTAGAATCAAATACTCTTCATAGATAGAAGGGTCTTAAGGTGCTTTACTAAAATTGTGAATTTCTTGACCCTGGGGTCTCACGTTTCCCCCTGGGGAGGGGGTAAACTTTACTATAGTTTATATAGGGAAATCACATTTTGGACCAACATTTGTTTAATTGCCATT